TAAATGAGGACAAAGTAGAGGACAAGTGTGAGTATAGGGAGAGAGTTGGCAACTATCCCAGCAAGGAGGATGACTATCTAGAAAAAGGGAGTAGTAAGGGCACGTGGAAGAATAGCAGATGTGAAGCCAGGTGTGGTGGCGCACGCCTGTAATCCCAGCCCTTGGGAGGCTGAGGCAGGAGGATCACTGTGAGTTTGAGACCAGCCTGGGCTACTTAGTGAGTTCTAGGTCAGTCTCATAGACAGATGTGAAAAAGACAGTGCCAGGGGAGAAGCCTGGGCTTTCAGGGAGCCTGGGGGATCCTCATCCCCCTGGAGGGAGGAACAAGCCACTAAGGAGACAATTTGGTCTCAGATGAATGGAATCTTGAGTGTGGATGGCCCCAAGGAGCATCCATGGGCAAGTGAAAGCTTGGACTGAGTAGGGAGGCAAGGGCTGAATGAAGATACACATTTCAGAAGTATTTTAGGGGAAAAAAATGTGCTTTATCCTTTGACCTAGCAATTTCACTCACAGGAATTTGTCCTAAGGATATAATTAAGAATATGTGTGAAAATTTATCTTCAGAAATACTCACTGTTTATAACAGTAAGAGTGGAAATACTTTACATGTTGCTCTGACAGTGAATGTTTAGTAGTAGAGGACTGGTTAAACAAATCCTATAATACCCATGCAAGAGAATTTGATTCTGACAGTACAATGGGTATTATAGATGAATGCTTATTAATATGGAAAATACATCTGTAATATTTTGCTAGGTAGAAAAAGGCAGACTCTAAAACTATTTGAAAAGTAGCATTGGTTATTGTGTAAAAAAAGTTAATACCCTAATGCTGATTCTTTCTAGGTGGTAGAATTATAAATGTATTTTTTCCCAACCAATCAATATATGGCTTTTATTGTAAGATGATTTTAAAAATGAATAAAATAAAAGGGAATGACCTAAGGAGAGCTCAAGTAATGGAAAAGGACCAAGGATGGGCCCTCAATCAATGACTTTGATGCCTCTTGTCATGTGGCCTCTGTCCTGAGTGGCTGCATTGCAGAGAACATGGAATACACTGCTGCCATTGGTGGGCCTTGGGCAAACTTTTTCATTCTCTAAGTCTCAGTTCTCTCATCTTTACACTTGCGAAATAACACTTTTTAAAAAAAAATTATTATCTCATGTTAAATAAAATATGTAGAAGGCCGCTGGTTTGGACTGAGCTCCTGCACTAGGCCTGATGGTCCAGACCGAAATGGAATTACATTCAAGTTCCTCACCTCCAAGACACAACCCAGTTATCACCTGACCTTCCAAAGACTCAGGTGGTGGGCTGGCCAGGGCAGTGTGGTGGTGGTGGTGGTGGGGAAGACATGTCAAATGGGTCACCTTTAGCTATGAGAAGTCCCGTTTTAACCTTTACAAGGAAAGTAACTTTGAAACAACCTATGTGCTCTTTGTTCTGTTTTTGCTTCTTCAGCCCTTTTCCGTCTGTCATGTCAAACTCTTCTGCTCAGTTCTTCCGAACAGTCTGTTTTATAGAATGAAATGTTGCCTGATTCTTGACACAAATAAAAGACAATTAAGGTATCTAGGTTTATTGTAATGTCCTCTTTTGACACTGACAACACAATATTTTCATACAGTACACAGTAGCTTAATAAACATGAATCCATCGTACCTTTTTGTTCATCCTTCTGTGCTAGACTTGGATGGGGCCTCTCCAGATTCTCCGGCCCTCACAGTGGGAAGTGATCTGCCTCTCTCTGAAGTTCTGACTACACTGAACTTCGCTGTACCCGGTGGGAATAGGAAGGGCCAGCTCTGCTCCCTCCTTGACAGTAAGAGCCTGGTCCTGAGTCTGCTCACCTCTCTCCCAGGCTGGTAGCACCCGCACAGCTCTTTGAACACTGGGGGGACTCTAGAGGTTTTGTTGACCGATTTCACTTTATGATTTAGGTAATCATGGGTTACTCAGAGGCTAGATGATTCCTCAGGGATTAGTTTAGTCAGATCTCTTGGAATTTTTCTCCTCCCAATCTGTTGCTCTGGCAAGATTCATCTTCCAGTCTGCAAAGAGATGACCAGCAGAGGGGGCCAGGGGAGGAGGCATCTCTCTCAGGCCTCCGGGTTCCAGTCGCAAGCTCTGGAGAGAGCAGGAGGATAAAGAAGATAACGTGAAGGCTGCACCACCACCTCTCCAGAACCCCGGCAGGACTGCTTAGGGCAAAAGGAGGTGGCCACACATCATTTCACAGGCCCAGATTCTCTAGCCAGCAGTAAAGTCTCTCCACTCTGCCTTTGTCACCAGCCCCGGGCAGGAATTTTGGTCATCCCCCATGCCACTGCCGCTCGGGGACACATCCTTCCTGCCAACAGCTTGTAGGACTGGGAAGGCAGCCTGGAGCTGAGGAAAGATCTTTAGGCTGCAAGTCAGGAGATCCGCATAACCCGTGGTTAAACCCTTGCAGCCTGCCTGTTTCCACCTCTATAAACTAGGAATAACCACACAGGCCCTGTCCCTTGTCACAGCCCAGGGTTTCTGAGGTGGAACCAAATCTTGTTTTTAAAAAGTACGGACAGACAAGAAGCTTCTTATAAAGGCCAGGTGTTTCCAGCACTGTCCGTAGGCTTCCTCTCGCTAACTTCCTACCAAAGCAGTCCTGTCCGCCCCGCCCTGGCTGCAACGGCCTCACCCATGGGATCTCCATCTTTCCAGTCGCTGTCTTTCTGTGCCTCAGAGGTCCTCAGTCTCCGAATCTCCCAGTCCATTTCCGGGTCTGGCTCTGGAGGCCCTCCGGGCTCTCCAGGGACTCTGCCTCCAGCTCTCTGTTGCAGTTGCTGCCCGGGCGCCCCCCGCCCGGCGCGCCCTCTTTTGGCACGGTCGCCCGGCCAGAGAATCGCCCAATGAGAGCGACGGACCTCAGTCTGACAGCTCAGGAGACGGCCAATCGAGCTGGGCCAGGGAAGGGGGGCGCAGCGCCTGGGCTGAAGTTGGGTTGAATGGGGGGAGGGGGAAGAAGAGGTGATACAAAAGAGGGGAGCTAGGACTGGGGGCGCAGGGACCCGAACCGGGGGGGGGGAGGGGGACGCTGCCA